AGGGGCGTGGGGGACCCGCCCGGGACTCGGGACCGCCTCCCCTCGCGGCTCCACTACTTGTCTGGAAGGCGCAGCCCTGCCCTGGGAGCCCCAAGACACCCCCTGTGGGTCCCCGGCCCCAGCACTTCTGCTCTGCCCCGCCTCGAAAAAGCCCAGCCTTTCGTGGGTATGACGGATCGGTCAGCCCTGAGGTAGCAGACTCCCACTGCCTGAAGAAGGGTGTTTGTGCCGGAAAGCGTGCAAAGATTTTTTGTCCAACTATTCAGTTGGTTTAATAAAAGATTCATAGATGTTGGGGGCTGGAAGGGACCTTTCGAGATCATCAGGTCCAGCCCCCCTGCACATGGGTGGAAAAGACTGCTGGGGTCAGATGACCCCAGCAAGGTGAGTGTCCAGAGGTTTTTTGAAGATATTCAGAGCAGGTGATTGTACCCCCTCGGGGAGGGGTCTGTTCCAGACCCTGGACACTCGAGTTGTAATATCACATCTACACAAAGAACCTTGCCTGTGTCCTTAGACTGACAGCTACAAGCAACAAGCCTGCAGTCTGGACTTCTTCCCTTCTCCTGAATCTGGACCCCACCCAAACCCCACTCTGATCACCAGCCAAACCCCATCACTTTCCAGCAGCAAGCAGGCTCGTTTCCTCAGGCAAGAGAGAAAGGGCCCAGAGCACCCTGGACACTGTTGCAGGGCAGCAGAAATAAGAAGCTGAAGCTAGCTCAGGCAGAAATAGGAGGACAGTACAGGTTTCCCTCACTAACCATGGTCTTGAGTATCCACACTTAATATTCTATATACTATTTTGGCTACCAAGGCATACAGTTTTCAGTAACCATGGTTTTCCATGGCTGTGCACCAGCCCACCGCCTGCCATTTTTCCCATAAGCCTTTTGTCTTGCCAACCATAGTTTTGCCAACCACGGGAACTTTCAGGAACCTAACCCCAGCTGTTGGTGAGGGAAACCTATATATGTTCATTTTCCTACAGTGCTGCTCTTCAGACCAGAGGCCTGGTCCACACACCAGAGCTGTTTGGAGGCTGTTGTTTTAAAGAGCATGAACATCAAGAACAAACCCATTTTGTGAACAGGGTGGGGCATGGATTAAGGGCAGAGGTTTCTTAATGACTCATTTTATGGTGGTCACCCTGAAAAACACCCAGCTCACTGAGGGCAGTACTGAGACCACCAATGCAGACTGAACCATGTTGAACACTTTCCCAAATTGCACGACAACAATCTTGGCTGTAAAAGTCCAACATTAGCAGGATTCTGAGCCTCCGGCAGGTAGGATAGTACTGAGACTTTCACACTGCTGTGACCCAGCTGGCCCTCCCACCATCATGCATGCATATTTTTCAAGGGTTTTAACTAGTATAATGTTAAAAATGGGTGTTTTTCAGGGTGACCACCATAAAATGAGTCATTAAGAAACCTCTGCCCTTAATCCATGCCCCACCCTGTTCACAAAATGGGTTTGTTCTTGATGTTCATGCTCTTTAAAACAAATTGTATGGTTCGCAGGTGTTCATCTGCTGTACTGCATGAGTTCAATCCTTCCTGGATTAACACAAGGAAGTTTAGGAATGATTACTCTTACTCACCTGTTCCTGGCCTGCCACCGCCCTGTTGCTGGCTTTTGTACTGTTAGGCAATCTAGCAACACGAGACCAAGCTAACACACCCTGTTTGACATACTGTTGTCATATCTGCTATTTCCTTTGAGTAAGGACTTTAATGACTTCCGTTTTGCCTGGTGGCTCATATAATATTATGGTTGCCAATTTCAGACAGCCCATTAACTTTACACAGGCACGCATCCTGCTTGTCCTGGAAGGACTCCGTCTATCAAATATCAGCCAAAGCAATTTACATTCCAGTGGCTGACAGGCATATCCCATGGATTACCCACCCACCCATATACATGAACTCAGCTTTTATGGACTCACCAGAGTATGTGACAAAACTATAGGAGCAAACATAATTAAAGTATTTGTAATTATGCTAGATATGCAAAACATCAATATTACTGTGCCTTGTTTTTTACCAGAAACCACTGCATTGCTCTGAAAGGTCCCACAATAACTCTTTGTACCCCTGCTAACACTGCTCTCTGCAATTCTCTGCTGAGTCACACAATTTACATAGTGTAAATTGCACATTCAGGCCAAACACTGTCAACTCCAGAGAGCATTGTGCTTTCTTATTAACCAGCAAAATCTTGAAGGTGGAGGAAAGAGTAGTAAACAGGCTACCAGAACTTTGATGTTCCTTTTTGATGCACTGAAAGATAGGAGATAGTGTAAGCAGTGCCATAGCAAGGAAGTTTGGCGCCCAGGGCAAGACCGCAATGGCAGCCTGCCCTTGGCCCATGCACAGATCCAGGGGGAGCACGCTCCCCCATGCTTGCTTGGGGGTGCATATAGAGGTTGGGGCTGCCCTCCCCCCCCAATCCCTGCGCACCCCCCTGTGGATGAGGCGCTTGCAACTCTGTCCCATGCTCTGCCCTGGTTGACAGTGCCTGCCTCAGTCCCAGCCCCCTTCCTCCCTCACTGGAAGGTCTTGATCTGTCCACCCCCCCAGACAGATTCACCAACTGGACGTTGGTCTCCAAGCTGTCGGGCTGGCCATGTGCATGCTGTGGCTGTGCACATGCACGTGACATTTATCAGCAACATTATTGGCCATGTCAAACAAATTTAAAAAATATATATTTATAACAAAATATTGACTCACAACTCACCTGTTGGCACCCCTTTGCTTGGGTGCCCAGGGTGGTTGCCCTGCTTTCCCCTCTCTTGCTAGTGTACTGAGTGTAAGCCTCATAACAAATGAATACCTGGTAGTCATTTCAAATCACTTCAGCAAACTTTTAGTCCTCACAATACCCCTGTAAGATCAGTTGGGGTGGTTCTTATCTTCTTTCTACACATGGGAAAATTAAAGCAGTTTAAAGATTTGACCAAAGCAATAAAAAACTGTCAGAATTAAGATTAAACCTTAGGAGTGTTTTGCTTCTATCCTTCTTTCAAGATTCTTTTAAACTTCCTTATTTCCCAGAGGAACCCAAGACCATACTCAGTATTTCATTTCATAACTGACATCACAGGTTTTAAATATTTTGTGGCAGCAGCACTGCCATTACACATACTGTGTACATGTCATTTCTTGGAACTAGTTTGAAGTAATGAGATAACATTAGAAAATCCCGCAGTGCCTTGAGGAAGTGTAGACTTAACCAAGGAAATGGGACCAACACTCCGGGTTTCAGCAACTTCTGTTCAAAAAGCAGAACTGAAAGCAGCACACAAAGCTAGAAAAGCTCCTATATATTAAAGAACTTTAGGAAAGGAAAGTTCAGTGAACAAGAGTCAGAAAATTCTCAAGTTACCTTTCTTACAAGCATGAGAACTCCTTGGATACATGTTCTTTTGTAGTTACAAAGTTGTAGCTTTAAAAAATAGAGCACTGTGGGGGTGTAGAGCACCCTGGTTGAAGTGCTACAAAGTAACCCAAAGGAGTACTCTCCAGACAGGGGCAATAGGGGACCTCTGATTCAGCTATTGCTCCCAGGGCACCTGTTCCTGAGTCCAATTAGCTGTTGCCACTGCAGCAGCCCCCCATTCCCCAGGGTACATCAAGCTATGTTCGTTTATCAGCAGCATCATGCAGAAGGATCAGACCCGGGTTGGTCCCAATTGTGCAAAGTTGTTTTTGCGAGTGCTCTTTGAACCTCTTTCTGATGTGACGGGCTAGCTGGCAGTGACTTAGCCCAGGGGTTTTGAAAGGGCAAAAGATGATTGGAGGACTTGGGATTCCCTTTCCTCACCAATCAGGCCTCAGAGACTCACCCTCCATGTCCCCTGATTGGCCCCTTGGGTCACCTGGAGGGGGATAAAAGGGGCAGCATGGATGACTCAGGGGAGACCAGCATGGGACCACAAGGAAGGAGCTTCAAAGAGCTGGGCCAGCATGGTGGGGAGCAGTTGCCCCAGAAAAGCCTGAAGGAGTGGGACCTACAGGCAGCACTTGGACCCTCAGCAGTGTCGCCTGCAGCTGGCAGGAGAGGCTCCCTGCTGGGCTCCAGAATCACCTACGAGAGGCTGTGGCCAGCAGGAGAGGCTCCCCAGCTCCAGCAAGGATCTGAGCAGCGACCTGAGAGGTTCCCAGCTCTGCTTCTAGCTCTTCCAATAAGAAGCCAGGCAGCTCAACATGAGGCCCTGGGAAGGTCAAGACCCCTTGCAGCTTAGAGCAGTACCAGCACTGGTAGCTGTATGGTAGAGTTTTTTTTGCCTACCACATAGGAGATCCGAGTTCAAGTCCAGGTGGGTTGACTTCGGGTGGGAGAGCTAATAGGGAGAAATTCTTCTTGCAGTGGAAAGGGGCCATTGTGTTTTCCTCCTTTCTCCCCCTCCAGGTACCTAGGCCCTATATTCCTTGTCATTTGACATTTTGTATTTTGTGCCTTTTATATTTCACCAACCAGTATTGTTTGTTCTGCTGTTTGTTTTACATTTTGGTTAACCCTGTCTTTTGTCAACTTGATGAATATGTCTATGATTGTATGTGATTCAACCTTTGTTGAATCCTGCCCCCTCAGGGCATTGTAATGTCCCCTATACCCCCTGGTTTATACTGGTTATGTTCCCAGTATTGTTCCCTCATTAAAAGGTATGTGGTTAAGTCCCCAGTGGTGGTCTGGCTCTGCTGTATAGGAGGAGGAGAGTCCCTACACCTCCCACAGCACTTGTGCACTTGCTTTGAGCCCTTCAATTGGAGAGGGGTTACCTCATGGAGTACCGCCTGGGTTACACTTAGCTCCTGCATGTATGGAGGTTGGTAAGTGAAAAAGTAAAGTGGGCCACTTTTGAGAGTCAGCCTGCAAGTTGAATTACTAGAGATGCCACTAGTGTCACATTCTCCCTCCCATCACTGCCTGCTGAAATTTTACAGCTTGGCACTTTCTGAGGGATGCGGTGGGCTCTCTTTCACTTGCGGTCTAAGTAAAGACAAGATATACTAAAAGTGATGATAAAGCCCAAACGGAATCATTGACTTGATTAAGCTTCTGGACTTGCATTACATCTAAGGTCACTATAGAATTGATTGTCACAACTGGCCCTTCTGCCTTTACAATTTTTTTTTAAATGACTGACAGGGGCACCCTGAAGTGAAATAACTGGTGTTCTTTAGAACATAGCCTCAATACACCTTATTTGTTCTAGAAGGAACTGCCTGTCCCTTCCATTGCTCCAAGAAGTCAGGAAAGGGCCTTCACTACAGCTCATATTTAAAACATGCTGTTCCTGACCAACCAGAAAAAACAAAACAAAACACCCTATTCTCCAGTCTCCAGCATCTTTCTTGTTCATGAACTTGTTGGGAAACCTCACAGTATCTAATTACAGTTTAGCTGAGCCACTCGCTATTTAAATTCTGCATTTAAGAGTTCAAGCTTTTGCATTAAACTGGCACATGCTAGCGATCAGATTTTTCCCCTTCTACCCAAGAAATCATGAACATTCCATTGGCAAGTTAAATGTGTATGAAGGCAACATTAAAAATCTAATTAAAATATTGCTCAAATGCTGTATCCACAGCAAATATGTTAGCATTCCAAAATATTGAATGATAAGTTGTTGCATTGTTTCTAAATCTTGATTTCCACAATCATGTTTTGATTAAACAGTATCAGAATTGTTTGGATACTTTCCTTCCTTAAAGGAAAAGATTAAATCAATACACTAAACGTCTGGAAACAACTGAAAAATCGTAACAGGAAAGTCAATTTTTTCCAAATCTGTAAACCAGAAAACTGATCTGAATCTACATACACAGTCAAATCATGCCCTCGCTTACCACATAATCCATTACACTCAAGTGGTTTTACTTATGAAACAGTGTTTCATCAGAAACTTTCAACTGGTCCATGCACCTTCTTGCGTAGGCCCAATTTTTCTTTTTTTCTCCGATTTTAAACTTTCTTCAATGTTTATTTCACACATGATTATGAATTAGAAGAAAAGCTAGACATTTATAAGTCAGTGGGACTGGATGGACTCCATCAGCGAGTGCTGAAGGAGCTGGCTGAGGTCATTGCGGAACCCCTGGCAAAACTCTTTCAGAATTCATGGTGCACAGGGGAGATCCCTGAGGATTGGAGGAGGGCCAACATTGTGCCCATCTTTAAGAAGGGGAAGAGGGAGGACCCGGGCAACTATAGGCCAATCAGCTTAACCTCTGTCCCAGGGAAAATCCTGGAAAAACTCATTAAAGAATCTATGTGCGATACACTCACTGAGGATAAGGTTCTGAGCGACAGCTGGCATAGCTTTGTCACGGGTAGGTCTTGTCTTACCAATCTCATCTCTTTCTATGACCAGGTCTTTCGCCACCTGAACATGGGAGACAAGGTAGATGTTATATACCTAGACTTCCAAAAGGCTTTTGATCTAGTATCCCATGATATCCTTGTGGGAAAACTGGAAGATTGTGGGCTCAGCTGCTCGACGGTCTAGTGGGTGGGAAACTGGCTACAGGTAGGACCCAGAGAGTTCTCATGAATGGATCTGTGTCGTCTTGGCATGCGAAGTGGCCAGTGGTGTCCCTCAGGGGTCTGTGCTTGGCCTGGTGCTTTTCAACATCTTTATCAATGATTTGGACGGGAAAGTGAAAAGCTTGATTGGCCAAGCTCGCTGATGACGCCAAGTTATGGGGCAGTCTGGTCACACCAGAAAATAAGTTGCTGATACAGGCAGACCTGGATAGGCTTGAGAGTTGGGCAGACCACAACCAGATGAAGTTTAATGCTTCCAAGTGTAAGGTGCTCCATCTAGGGGCAAATAACCCTCAACATGCATACAGGTTTGGAGGTGACAGCATGACCTGCACCACGGCTGAAAGGGACCTAGGGGTAATGATTGATCACCGCATGAACATGGGGTGTCAGTGCAATGTGGTGGCCAGCAGGGCAAACAACACGCTGGCATGCATCAACCGGTGCATCTCATGTAAAACTAAAGGGAGTGATACTCCTGCTGTACTCAGCACTCACGAGACCACAGTTGGAGTACTGCATCCAGTTCTGGGTAACGCACTTGAATAAGGACGTGGAAAAACTTGAGAGGGTACAGAGAAGAGCCATCCATATGATCTGGGACTTGCAACGCAAGCCATACAAGGAATAGCTGAGGGATCTGGGCCTCTTTAGTCTGAAGAAGAGAAGGTTGAGAAGGGATTTGATAGCGGCTTACTACTCTATCAGAGGAGTAAATCAGGAGCTCAGTGAACAACTGTTCACTAGGGCACCCTTGGGGAAGACCAGGACCAGTGGATATCAACTCCTGGAAGGCCACTTCAGGCTTAATACCAGGACAAACTCCTTCCCAGTCAGGGTGTCCAGACTGTGGGATGAAAACCTCCAGGGTAGGTGATTGTACCACCTCTGGAGGGAGTTTAAGTGGAGACTGGACAGTTACCTCGCTTCGGGCACTTGACCCCAGTTGTCTTCCTGCCTAGAGCAGGGGGGGCTGGACCCAATGATCTGCAAGGTCCCTTCCAGCCCCTAACACTCTATGAATCTATGAATATTTCCTGAAGCTATTCTGTATTCCCCGAGCGTTTCATATGGCTTTATAAGGGAAAGCTGGAATATAAGCAGAAGTCATAAGATAGAAGTACAGTTACTTTTACAAGATTCTAATTTAAACAATGTAGTTTGCCATTTTAAAGTTTTGTTCACTGTGACAAATGGAATTCTTAATTCAGGATACTGTAAAAATAGCATACAATGTAATCAGACCAAAGAGGAAACATTCCATTGCTATGTAGAAAAATTAGGTTTGACATGGTGACAAAACGGTATCATTTTGCTGCAGTTCTGTGGAATATAAATATACATCATAGAATACACAACTCTGGATAATTTTGGAACACTCCAATGCTCTGGATCACTCCAACACTCAAAACCCCTAAAACATTCAACACAGGACAAAACATTGAAAACCTTCTTAAAAAGCAAGTCACAAAAGCCACTTATCTCAAAATAGTTGGTTTATGTTACAAGCAATATCTAAAGCTAGCACCACAATGAGCAAGGTAAAATGAAGCTTTACAAATGGGAGAGAACTAGCAGAGCTCAGCAAGCCAGTTTCCATGCGACTGACCTAGGCCATCTAGAATAAGGTAAGTTTCACTTATGATAGTGATTGTGTAAATAGGAATTTTGACCCAGACAGTCCTTTTCTTTGAGGTAGGTTTAGTATTAGAGCAGTTTTACAGGCATAGAATTAAAATGATTTTCTGAAAATCTTAGTGCCAGTTCACACAGACTCTGGTCCCCTGCTGTGATCTTAGGAACATGATGAATCCATTTTATAATGTTCATGTGGAAGCAAGAGCAAATCTGCACAGAGCAGTTTGTATAGAATAAGATAGGGTGTGAATTAAAAAAGCACAAGTTATTCTGTACCAGATCTCCATGTGGATGCTGTTATTTTGAAATAATAGTACCTTTGGGTGAATAATCCACTTTTGATCATCCATATAGGAGGTAAAACATTTTACTGCACGCTAATCCTTTTGAGCTTTTTCCTTCAAATAGTCACAAGCCCTAAGAATTGTCAGATCTTTTTAATAAACAGGGGAAAAAAAACATTTCCTACTAAAAATTTGCTGAAGCCAACATGGGATAGAGCCTTGCAATAGCAAGTTAACACCTAGTTCTGTACATTATGCAGATCCCTTACTATGCTCAAGAAGCAGCATACTGAGCACCTTCCAATAGCACCTTAAACATGATTAACATTTGTCATGTTTGTTCTTTTTCCCTCCCTGGGGGAGAAGTTTGTGCAATGGAGTATTTTGTTCTAGTAGTTTTTTTTTTTAAACCCTATATTGCTACACGTTCATGTTAGAGCAGGGGTCCCCAACCTTTTTAGATCACAGACTGGCAAACCACAGACCGGAAGTGACTGTGGACCAGCAAACTGCGGTCCGCAGTGACCGGCATACTGTGGACTGGCAGCCAACCCAGTATAAAAAAGGGCTGGCTGCCAATCCGCAGCATGCTGATCATTTCTGGACTTCCAGTCTGGCAGTCAACTCTCCTGCACACTGGCAGCCAACTCTCTGCAGATCGGTACCAGGCCTTTTGATGACCTTTCTTTTTTGTCATCAAAAAACCCCTGTGGCCCGAAGGTTGGGAACCTCTGAGTTAGAGAATGGAAGGTAAAAATTGATGCTCAGCTTGACTCAATAGATTAATTTGATGAAAGCAAATGAGATGTTATTTGATTATAGCAGGGGTTTGATTCAAACTGCTGAAGGGACTATTATTTCAAATTTAAAGGTAACAAAAGGTCACATTAGAGAAAGCCTGTGGGAGATGTGAGCATCCACCTGGCACTATACAGCCCATAGAAACTGTGGCAGAGATGACAAATGCTAACCTCATTTTTCCTCAGACTGGAGTTTTGAAGAATTAAATCCATCTGCTTGTTTCTACTACGTATAACATTTTTACTGCATCTCCTAAGGAAACAGATTTTGTGGGGTTCACTGCTTCATCCCTACTCCTGCATCTTGACTAAAGCCATTTTACCTGGCGATGGCACTATTGCCTCCCTTTTGTGCCAACACAAATCCAACAATCCAATGTGCACACAGGGGAACTACTGATACAAATAATGACAGATGGCAGAGACACATTTTCTGCTATTTATTTACACATCCATTCTGCTGCTCAATAGATGAAGGGCGGTTATAAAGATGACCGTGATAGGCTATTCTCTGCATCTGCATGGGACAGGACGAGTAATGGTGCCAAAGTGCTACAAGGGAAACATAAGTTGGCTATTAGAAAGAACTTTCTCACTACATAGGAGGTTAAGGACTGGAATAGATTACCTAGACAGACTGCAGAATCTTCTATCATTGGAAGTTTTTAAGAACATGTTTGACAAGTGTCTCGGACGGCCAGAGCCGACTCGAGTTACGTTAGAAATTGGTCGTACGTTAGGGCGGGCTGGTGAATGGAGAGGCAGACACAACTTATCGGTTGCAAAAAACTTTACTCACGCCGCTTGCAATCACGACGCAGGTGGTCCGGTCGTCGGAACAACCACACGAGTTGTTCCAGCTGGGGGCCCAAAGCCAGTTAATCCGTCCGCAATTCGAAGCCGGCAGGGAAAGGGGTACGTCTGGGGTTGCGCTCGGTGACGGGAAGAACGATCGATAGGCGATCAGTCTATCGATCGGCAGCCGCAAGTCAGATAACTTCAGAGGCACTCTGCAGCGTGCTCAAAGCTCTTCGACTTGGGCAGAAGTCGCGCGGAATTTTAAATGGCCAGCGAGCCAATTACTAGCCGCCACGTGTGAATAATTTAGCACTGGCCAATAGCGGGGCACAAATTTACATTCGAATAGTGGGAACTCTTTGCACCGTGCATTTCTGTGCTGCAAAGAAGAAATGCATCCTGCAAAGGAAACTGCAAATTGGTGGGAACTCTCTCCTACACGCGGGTTCTCAATTGCAGCAGAACACTCTGCCGTGCAAAGGAGCTCTCATGTGGCCAGGAAATTCCATAGTGCTGAGGCACCAAAAATCACTGGGTCGTGACAACAAGCACCCCACGAGACAAGTTTAAACAGGGATGTTCCTGCCTTTAGCAGGAGGTTGGAATAGGTGACTATCTGAGGTCCCGTCCAGTCCTATTTTTCTGTGATTTGTAACCATCAGACCATTCATACAATACCTGTGCTTCAAGAATATCCTAATTTCAAAATGTACACAAACATAAGGTGTACAGAATTATTTATTATAAAGCTTTACACATGTACAACAAAATGAAATATAAACTATATTGAGAACTGTGACAACTCATGCTGTTGCTTCATGGTTTTCTGTGGCAGTAGTCAGCAGCCCCTCTGGGGTATCTGTAGGCATCTGCAACAGTTCTTCAACTTCTTCTTGTAGAGCCTCAGCTTTTTCACTCAGCAACATCTATGCCCAAAAATCACACTATTAGAAGATAAATCAACACAAGTGGCCAGAGCATTTCCTACATTAACAGAAAAGTTGAAAGCCTGGCATTCCCTCCAGGGCTTTATTTAATCCTCCAGAAACAAACTAAGAAGAAATTAAGAGTACCAGGAACCAAACCTCTGGAGTTTTGACTCAACAATAATAAACTACTATGCTCATTTTCACAGTTGTAATACCAAAATAAATACAGTTCTCCTGCTTAGGAATTCTTTTCACGGGAGCCTATCCTGCTTATATTGTCAAATTTAGCAGGCTAAACCTGGGGTGCCTAATGCCTGGCCATGGGCAAGATCCAGCCCAGGGAGCCATGTCTTTTGGCTCTCAGAGGTCCCCACAGGTCCAAAAATTGGGGGGGGAAGGGGTGGGAGAGCAGTGACAGCAATTGCTCCTCCCCTGCTGTGAAATATCTCAACTTGTGGGGAGCCCCATAGGCCAGACAATGCATTAGACTGGCACAGGAAGATGGCCCAGGGCCAATCTGGGCTGGCTGGAGGCAATACAGGATCTGATCCCAGAGCATCAGGCACAGTACAGGCAGTGTTGATCCTGAACCAGCAATGCAGAGCTGTGGGTGCAACCCAGCACCCAATCCGATGGTATGGGGCTGCGGGAGGCAGAATGGGGCCCCAATCTGGCGTTGCAGGGGTGAGGATGGCAGCCTGATGCCCCAATCTGGGGACACGGTGCCCAATCCAATCCACGGACTGGTTCATAGCACCAAATGGTAAGCATCCTTGGATTGATACAAGTGCAAACAACATGCCATGATCAGTTTAAAAAAAATGCGCAGAATTTAAAATCTGGTCCCTTTAGCAAGGTCCTGTTTAAAAATTACAGTCCAGCAAGACTTTTTTCAAAATAACATTTTTATTCCAGAGTGCTTGCAACAAAAGGCACTTCTTTTTTAAATGTTAAAATAAATGTTCAAATTAACACTAACATGCTGATCACACAAGTATACAGAAGTAGGGTGTAGACTCCTTGTGTTATGCAATAAATACACACCTGATATGAAGATTTTAATCATATTATGGAAGACTGCAGTAATTGGCAACTGTCTGTCTAGCAGTTTAGCTATTTTGTTCATCATATTTGAAGTGTCTCTAAGCAACAGGTGATAGTAACACAACAACAAGCATCCTAATGCAGGGGTCAGCAATGTTTTTGGCTGCAGTGCCAAAAACACCTCAACCCTGACCCAGACCTCAACTTTGAATGCCAGAGGCAGACTGTGGGGGAGCTATGAGGGTCCAATCCTTGTTGCTGGTGGCGGCTGCATGTGTGCCTCTGGGTGGATGGTGGGGGAGGGGCCAGGGTTGCACTACCTAGGCTCCTTCCCTGCCCGGAGGCATGCACGCAGCCACCGCTGGCTTGGAGCTGGTGCTGGGGCTCTGGAGCCCGGTACAGCTGTTTCCAGCCTGCCCACTGCCAGCTGTAGCTGCCCAGATGTCAACCCTGTCCTAACATATTGTTTTTGTTTTCACACGTACTGTACTCTAAGCCTATGGCACAGATTCAGTGTGGAGACTAGAGTATTTAGCTGATTCCTTTTACAGTAATTTAAAGTAAACACAGGGCAGCATCTACACATTCATTGATGCACTTTACCTGATGCACATTAAAATCTAGGACCTCTATTGTGAGGCATTAGAAAAATGTGCGTTAGGCTATTTTAACGCGCATTAACTAAAGAGCACTTTTTGTGATGCTTTAATACACATTAAAATAGGCTAATGTGCATTAAAGTGCACATGTAGATATGCCCACTAAGTATATAACAAGGAGTCATTTACAGAAATGTTCCTACAGGGAATAGAAATCACAGGCAAAAAATAGGTAAATAATTTTTTTGTAAAAACAGTTGGAGCTAGATCTATAATAATACTCTTACCTTTGAAGAACAAATAGCAGTAAATAAATATCATTTTCCCAAGTTCTACAAAAGACAGTAAGAAACCATGGAGAAATTATCTTTTTAAAAAATAAGGTGGTAGCCAAGTTCTGTTGTCATTCTTCTGGTGAGCTCCTATCAGGAAATCTCATATTATTCCTGCTAGTCAGGAAAGTCTTAAATTATTAGAGAAAGATTACTAAATGGAAACTAGTTTTCATTCATCCCTGGCAGTTCAAATTACAAAGCTTCTGCTCACCTTTGCTGATGAAATGATTTGTCTGGCCTGACGTCGTGACACATGCTCAATCATCTTCACGAGTATCTCAGGATTTGCATTAGCTAAGTGTGCTAGAGTTTTATATCCTGCATTATAAAGTTGTTTTGCTCGAGCCTGCAAGACAAAAATGAAACTGTTCAAAAAAAGTATTAGGTTAGTTAGTAAGAACTGCAAGGAACCTTTCTTTTTTGTCATCAAGGCCAAAACTCTGTGATGACTGCACAAAATTCACCCCTCTGTTATTTAATCTGGATTGATACTGATTAGCACCCTAATGCCAGACTGATACTGCGTGGAGATGAAGCTGATTTATTGTTAGGAACTTTTACTTAAATAAATAGATCTACCCTTTCTTCTTCTCATGTCCTGTCACTATATTCAAATTTGGGTCCAGAAATGGGCACATATTACTGCCTGATCTGTGGCTTTAGCGAGGTCCTCATTGGTGCTTGGTTCCCCAACACACGGGCAGGCCAGAAGGTGTTCTATAATCTCAAAGTTTCCTACACATTCACACCTAGTGTTTCTATCACTGGAGTTTCCCCAGTTGCATGTTAACTTCAGTCTCATTGTTCTGTGGCAAGTTATCTTTCTGCCTCTCTTATTTCTTGTCAGTAACTGCATTTGTAAATATCTGCATCTTTTTAATTGCCATCTCTGAACAGTATGTGTCCATTTCTGCACCCACATTTGAACATGGTCACAGGACACAAAAAGATGACAGCCTGTTCAGTTTTAGATTATGGACAAAGCCATGATTGTTGAGTTGCATGTACTCAACAGAGATGGTCTGTGGTATTTAAATAACAGGATCAAGAGATTTTGTTTTCTTTCCTTTCTCAGATACTTTAGCCAAGATAGAACTACTGTGATGAAAAGTGGCAAGGAGGCTATAGGGTACTAGTTAGTCAACATTTGTGCAAAACTAGCAATTCTAGGTCTTTCCACAGTTAAATGGAGACTATTTCCATCTTACCACAGATATTATTTTTACTTTTACTTAGTCGCGTGTTTTTCTCTTCTATTTACCTGAACCCATCCCCTTAATTGTCTTCTTGAAAACAAAACCAGTTTTGAGAGGCACAGAAACTTTTCATTGTTCCTTAGGGTAGTCATAGCTTGTGAACATTTAGACAGTTGATAAGCTGACTTCTCAGAAGAAAGAGGATGTGGTTTTTGGTAGCTAAAATGCCACAGAGAAGATGTTGCACTGTCCAGTTAACTTCGTGTATTCAACTACCTTATATCTGGATAGTCCAGACTACTAGAAATCTAGAGATGTTCATTCTTGAGCTGCTTTATCTCACACATTTCAAAAGTATTTTAGAAAATATCCAACTCCAATACTAGCTTTAACAGCATTTCCTCCACAAAGTTTCATGCAAGTCTACATATACTGCATTGTTGACTATTACATTCAACATCTAAGCTAAATGTTGAATATAATAACCATATTTAACCTCAGTTTTGCCCCCTGGGTAGCAATAGTTTAGAGTTTAGAGCACAGTACCTCCTGGGATAGCGACATGCTATGGTGTTCTCCGCTAGCCCAGGAGCAAGCCCAGATAGAAGGAACCTGTCCACCACCACTACTGTTGTCCCTAGTTGAGCCCAGCTCCCCATACAGACTGCTGGGGCAGGGCATGGGGGGCCCTGGAGCTTCCCCCACCTCCACGGCAGCCAGGGGCAGTAGTGGGGAAGGTGACAAATAGAAGAGAAGGAGATGGGAGGTAACATTGAGCAAGGAGGGGAGAGGAGGAAATGCTGAGTTCTTAACTCTTTTGGGGACTTAAAAAAGTTACTGACTGCTATTCTCAGGGTGTGATCCACTCATCCTGTTGTTGGGGGAGGTGGAATTCAGAGCAAGGATGCAGCCACCCCTGCAGCACTAGTTGTTGCTCTTGCACCCTCTACAAAATTCTGGATCCATCAATTCCCTTTTCCCATTGCTAAAGTAGACAGATTTGGATTCTATTTTGGCTTGAGCATCAGATTAAGAAATATACAATATTTTTGTTGTGTTTGTCACAGCAGCCAGGAGCATAAATCTGAAAATACTACATAAATCAACCTCAAATTTACCGAGATAAACATTTTTTTCACATAAAACTTAACAGACTAGCTATGACAGTCACTAAAACACAAATATGATGCTGTGTGTTTAATATATTCACTTCCTTTCCACAAGAAAATTAGCAACCCAAACAGTGGCAGGAAAAAAATAGGTTCTTAACAAAGTGCTCTGTAGCAGGGGCAGGCAACCCCTGGCACATGTCAGTGTGGCACATGAAGGCATTTTGCTTGGCGTGTGCACCTTGGGGTGGATGGTGGGGGAGCTTGTTGTGGCACTGCAGCCATGCCCCCACTGCAGCTGCTTGCAGCCTCCCTGCTGCCTGCTTGTGAGCAGCCTGGGCTCCACGGTGGGCAGCAGGGGTTTGCCCAGAGCCCGGGCTGGCTGTGGCAGCCAACTGGAAGACTGCAAGCAGCTACACGGGGATCTGTAGAGTTCCAGCCCAGTTCATTGCTGGTGCCAGGTGCATTCTCCCCTGCCACAAGGAGGATCAGGCCCTTTGTGGCTCCCCCTGCTGTCTGCCCCTGGCATGCCAACATCTTACAAGTTGAGGCTGCGGGTGTTTTGGGCACTTTGCCCAAAAACATTGCTTACTCCTGCTCTAGTTTCTTTCACAGATGTGTAGATACCACATGGCTGAGGCTAGTATACAAAACTGACATAGGATAACTTGGGCCAGAATATGCATGTACTAACCTCTAGAACACCTGCCACCTCCATGAGAGGGATGAGTTCTGCCTTAACACAAAAGGTCAGTCGTTTGGTAAGTTCTGTAAGCAGGGCCTTATAAACCCAAAATTCCTCCAATTCCTGCAGAAACAAAGGATATTACAATCTGAAAGGAACTCCACAATTCCAGTTTAACCCTTTTATTAGGCGTAACACTAGTTGGAGCTTTGTCAGGCTGGCGAGCATATGCTCCCTTTGGAAGAGGAAGTATGTCATGTCATCACCTGAAATACTCCTCCTGGACAGTGCCAGGAGTTGTATCGAGCCTTTTTCTGCCAGTCATCCCAATGCAGGAACCTTTCTGAAGGATGAGGAGATACTTCAGGAATATAGTCTTTTGGGAACAATTTTGGACTTGCTGATGTTGAAAGGCTAAAGCAGCAGTAGAACAGCTAGTTTTAACCCTGTTCTCAGATGACACCGTTTCAAGGTGGAAGAAGAGGGAAACCTTTGGCAATCATTTGGATACTGGCATTTTGTAGCAAAGCTCCAAGTGTACACTTTAAACATTCATGACTTGAGAATATCAGTCTAGACTTTAATATGAAAACTTCATTCTGATACACAAAGGCTTTTCTAAACAGTAAGATGACCCATACCAATGTTCAGATTTGAGTACTAAAAGTCTATAGCAGAGATCCTAGTAAATACTTCCTTTATGCTTTGTAGCAATTACAAATAAAACTATTCACTGATGTCATGCTAGACACCACCCACCGAACATGTATTACCTCACAAAAGTGCAGCACACAGGAACAGAATGTGGCAGCCGAGTTAAGGAGATTTTGCACATAACCACGGGACAAGTTAAATTTTTCTGAAACCATCCATACATTGGTATCTTTTAGCAAGGCATAAAGAACGAAGGATAGGTACAGCCTATTTATAACACCAATGTCCACATCCTAGGAAGACAGAAAACTGGTGTTCAGCTAGAATTTAGAATTACAATCCAACAGATGAGATTTTTATAAGGCACATTTCCCCACTTCTCAAATTCTATGAAACAAATGCAGTAATTTTGCATTTAAGGATTTTTGAAGCAGAGAAAGCAGCAGAGGGAACTATTTTGGTGAAACAAAGATCGCAGAAGCAGGGCAGACCAAACTGCCTTTAACGGTCTGATTTGTGTTTATGAAATTGCAGACAAAATAACAAAATATAAACATTTTCCAGGGCCAACAGGAGAATCTTGGATTCCTCAATGTTCATGGCTATTTGATATGAAATAAATACAACTTTATAATAGCAAAACACTAGTAACAAGCAGCTTTTAACATTACCGTAACTGAAAGATTAACAAATGCTAATTATCAGTTGTACATGTTTTTTCTACACAAAATAATTTGATTGATGAAGTTACCATTCTACTAGTTTTTTCTTTAAAAACAATAATCTTTTACTTACCCTTCTGATGACTTGACCAGATGCCTTTTTTGTAATAAAGCTTTCAGGAACTCCCACAATATCTGCTACTTTCTGTTCTACTGCACTTAGCTGAGTGTACTAAAAGGCAGAATTAATTAAAAAAAAGAAAGAAAAAACCATGTAATATTAAACATGAATTTATCTCTCTGTATGAGTTGCAAAAATATGTTAAAGGGATAGAATATAGCGCACTTAATGTTGCTTAGCTGTTCTACTGTTACATCAGTAAATAAATAACCTTTTAAAATGTTAACCTCAGTTAATATTTATAATGCTTACGGAATTTGCATTTCTCCACCCCCTCCCATAAGAACATTGATGTATTTTTCCAATGATACATCTACCTTATTTTCCCTCTCGCAAAACTACAAAAATTGCACTCAGCTTACATGCAGGGTTGACCTATATAAATCAGCCCTCTCTACAGTTTAACTTTTTCCTTATTATGTGGAAATATTTTGTGGAAGATTGTATTCTTCAGTTTTACTACAGTAACTTTTTAGATAGTTTTGATCACATGGTTAACATTGCTAAACAGTACATTAAACTATAAGGCAAGCTGGACTAACCTTAATTACTCAGCTAATGGCAGGATCTGTAATTACACTAAATCAATGACTGTTTATCTTTTCTGCCAGCACAGGAGTTGCTATGTAGAAGTCTTTAAAGTCCTCCCACTTTTTTTTTTTTTGCAATGTTCAATATTTTTTATGAAGTATACTATTTAGTATACTACAAAAATAATTTAATGAAGTATACCATAAAAATAATCCTACAAAGACCATGAATATAATCTTCTCTTAGTCATTAGTTACTTTGCCATTAAACTGACTTGTTTGTAGTTAGAATTAGTTTCCTTCTGTTTCTGACTTCAAACTCTCCAAACTCTCATGACTCGCACATTCAAACTAGATTTATGCCTAACAAGACAATCACAGACCGAAGTTATTATACCACGAAGAAAACAGATATGTAATATAAGTTTTACTTCTCTATACAGGGTAGCATTTGTTAATAGGCTTGGAAGTTATGCCATACCTGCTTAAAATAGACCATCCAGTCTGGGTTACAGTGGTAAATCATATCATATGGAGTTGCTAGATAGAGTAGATGAAGGCAGCTCTCAAGTACTAGCCCCTCTAAACCTTTCTTCAAGTCTCTGTAGAGAGCATTACAATATGCCAAGTCTATAGATCCTAAAAGAAATTAGGATAGTTACCTATATCTATAATTCTCAAATGGCTCACACACATTAGTTAGATACTGCTGTCTCCAATAGTTAAAGACTGGTTGAAATCCAGAAGTATGAGACTTAATAACTTTCCAAAAATCACTGCTCAGTAAGTTGGGATACTCTTAATACAAACATCCCACCATTTGTTAACCTTGCTCAGTTTTTGCCCTCAACATGTACTGGCAATGAGTTCTACAGTCAAATGATATATTATGTGAAAAAAATATTATTTTCTGATTTTGGATTTTCTACTTTTTAATTACACTGAATATTCCATGTTCTTCCTTTATGAAACAGGGTCTGCATATGCCCTCTCTTATTCCTCTCTGTTCCAAAATAAAACAGTCCCAATATTTACAGTTGGGATTTATGGTTACCATGCCTCTTCATGAGTATTTCTGTGCTTTATTTCTGTTGCCTTTCTCTGAAATCTCTCTAGTTCTCTAGCATCTGTTCCAAGATGACTACTACTGCATTCTACTCCAGATACAGACATATCATTGAGTATATAAAGGTACTATACTACTGTTTTTATTATATATCATCCTGTTCCTCAAGAATCTTCACATACGTCTTGCTTTTTCTGAGTGCAACTGCACAATCAGAAATTTTCAGTTAGCTCTCTACAATGATGCAAAACTGATATTGTGAGTTAATTTAGACCCCAAAAGATGCGCAGGTACTTCATGTTTTCTCTTCTAACGTGCCTTACTTTGGATTTAGGCACACTGAGTTTCATTTACCATACTGTTCTTTCATTTTGTCAACTTAGATTTTTGATTGGTCTCTCAAGGTCTGGAATAATTAAAATAACCATCATCGGTAAATCTTGATAAATTACTAGAAAACACCCCTTTCAAGATAATTCATATATTTAATAAAAGATTTAGAATGGAAAGCCAAGGAGACACTCTGCTTTTCACTTCAACTACAATGAAAAACAGACAAATTATTTTTTGCTTAGTTTTTGAACCATTACAATACTCTACATCCGGTGACTTGGATACTTCTCATCAATTTAGTAGTTTCTTGTGCAGGATCTTGTTGAAGGCCTTTAGGAAGCCTGAACAGTCTTACTCAAGGCACCTCTCATAAGACTCAGATGCCATTCAGAAAATGCCAGCTCATGGCATGAGCTCTCATTCATTTGTTGACTATGGAAAAATAATAAAACAATTCTTCTGCCGCAAAGAACACAGAAAACCTCAAAAGGTCAGAATGGTTTTGACCTTATGGATTCCCATTTGAAATATCTGGGTTTATCTTGTGAATCACATGTAGGCATTTGCACACCTAACAGTGTTAATATTGTATGGCACCCCATGACACCCTTAAAAGGATCTCAGAGCACCCTACAGTGCTACAGAACCCTGGTTGATAATCATTGGATTAGGTTAACTAGTTATTTATTCACTACTTAAAATGACATGTTCAAAAGATTCCAAGACATGATGCTTCTTTATTGAAATGGAGCTGCACAGACTCCAGTATAGTCTGACAGGTGTTTTATTTTAATCATCATATTCAGACAGGTGGGAAGGGGCTGGATAAAAGTTTTAGTTACGTTGAAAATAAAAAAACAAATTTAAAAAAGACATGGGGAAAGAAGTGCAATGGAAAGGAACAAATTCTTACCTTTGTAAGCAGCTTGACCCAACTGTGTGATCGCTAGATTACTTGGGGATTTTTGTTCCTTTTCAGACATGATTTTTCCTTTTAGGAGTCCTTTTTCTATTAAGCTTTCCAGTGATTCTTTAATTATATCTGAGAGGCTCTTTTCTTTTGACAGTGTCTTTTGCTGAACACCAAACAGTGTACCACACATGAAGTTGCAGATTTCTTCAAAGTTTCTCGCAATCTACAATAGTTTGGATGTTTTAATCACATGACACAAAAGAAGTGTCATAGCTCAATAAAAGTGTTAACTCTAGCTTCTGCCCTCTTTCTAGCTGAAAACAGTATGCCTACTGAAGACTCCGAACTAGACTGTTAATCCTGCATGTCTATATGACTTTAAGATAACTGCAACTAATTTGATGAACATGCTGCCTGATGAAGGGCTCAACATAATATCATATGCCGCCCCGCTACATTATTCCAGCTGTTAGCATTTGAAATTTGTTTTTATCTTTAAGAAGTTATCTTAAAAGCTTTAGAACCAAAGCTTTGAAGTACCTAGTAGGCAGAAAACAGTTTGGCCTTGCCTACATCAGAAACTTTTATCGGGATTCAGTAGTTCGGTTGGATAACATGACCACAAGTTTTCCTTCTTTATACGGATTATAATTGCATTTAATGAACTACTCAGGGTTAAAAACAAGACTTTGGTGAACACTAACATTATTACTCTCAACCCTAATGAAGCAAAATGAGCCCCAAATGGATTCCATGAAATGGAGTATGATAATAACTACAAATTTAATAATATGGAAACTACCGTGAGAGAAAAACAGTTCTACCTGTAAATATCATCAATACAGTTACCTACATTCGCATTAGTAGTATCATAATGAATCTCTTTACTTAGCCACAGAAAACAATTGATACCTGTAACCCAACCAAGGACAGAAGGAGGTTTTGTATTCCCTTGGTAAACTCAAGTAAAAGGCTGCTGCAACAGTTTTCCAAAGGACTGCTTATTAAATCTTGAACCTAAAATAAAAAGCAAAAGATGAAATCTCTTAACAGGAGAAAATATTTCACCTTCAAAAATATTTTGCTATGTACTGACTTGATTAAAAACTATTCCTGCAAATTTCCAAGTTTTCTGACTGACCTCTAGAGATCAGTTTATGAGCCAAGAGAAGTGATATATGGTCAGAAAATACATACGTCTTCTAGCAAGGAATCTGAGTGCCTTTCACAATTGCAGGAAAGTTTCTGGTAACAGTTACTGGCAGGCAAGAAGGACTACACATAAGAATGCAAAGTTGAGCAAAAGACATTCAGGTCCCAGTTTATCACAGAAACTTAGTCTGATGACTCAAAAAACTGATATTTTTGTGCAAGTTACCAGATGTTTGTCTTTTTCTTGCACTATAAGAATACTTTCACCAGCACTGTCAATACCAGCTCGACCAGCTCTGCCAATCATCTGCTTGTACTGATTCTTTTTCAGGAATTCTGTTGCAACATAGGGCGCTCTTAAAATAACCCTAAGGAATTAAAAAAAAAAAAAAAAGAAAAGAAAAGACAGGAAAGACCAGATAAGTTACATTCTGCGTTGCAAGTATTTAAAGCATCAGTAAAATTATACTAAGGAAAAAGTTCTCCCTAAGGAAAAAAAAATTTACCTTGGGATGACAAAAATAAGTGAAGAATAAATCCCATTCTTTATACACATGCAGCTCACAAACCTGAATAATTTTGAGTACAGGCAGTCCTCGACTTGCAACATGTCAAATTACATTTCGCACTTACACCATTTATAAATTGACACCCTGTTTCAACTTTGATGTCAGTTTCGACTTTACAACACTTGATCCGACACCATGCCAGCGAATAAGTTCTCTGTGTCGCCCATCTCCCTGGACACTTTCTTTAAGAAAGCAGACAAGACTCCAGAAAAACCTGCAGCCAAGACTCCAGAGAAGACTCCAGGCAAGAAACCTTCAAAAAGTCTAGCAAAGTCACCTCAAAGAAGTCCTTCCAAATCAATATGATTGCTATTTACAATATAAATACATTAATGTAGCTATATTACTCATCTATAATTGACTGAGTACAATATTCTGGGTTATTTTTGGTGAAAATAGGGTATCAGGCCTTGGTTCAGGAACCAGCACCCCCCATTTATAACATTGTTTCCTATGGGAAAATGGATTCCGAACTACAAAGTTTTGACTTAAGACCTGCTAAGTCTGAGGACTGCCTTGTTGGGGAAAGTGGGAGGGAGCTGTCTGTGACCTGAGCATTCTTTGTCATGCAAGTTACGAAGGGTGAAGTGGCCACTAAGGAAAAAGACTGATCAGTAAAGATGGGTTATAGGTCCTGTGTAGACAGCAAAGACACTGTTGTACACCCAAGGGACTATGGGAACTGAATGACAGGGTTCGGTAATGATGCCCTTACCCAGATCTCAGACATTAGTCTCTCTGTGCCGAATGAACTGAGATGTGAAAGCAGGCTTGAAGGTCAAGTGCTGTGAATAAGTCACCATGAGTCAAGGTACACATTCACCCTTCTGTAAGTGTTGTGACATGCTTAGCTAATGATTGGAGCAAAACTCAAACTTAAGTCTGTTAAAGGGTTTTAACAATGTAGGCTTTAATGAAACCATACAGTAAATATTTTTGTAGGGCTAACCTTCGAGCTGGTAGATTGACTCCAGCAGCTAAAGTAGATGTGCAAGTAAGAAGGCATAGAACACCTGCAGAATAGGCTTCCTCTATACTTTTCCTTTCATCACTTGTAAGCCCACTGTGATGGTAAGCGATGCCAAATGAAACTGTTCGTTTTAGTACAGGACAGACTGTTCCATTACCAATATTCTTCAAGTTCATAAGAAGGTCTTGTTTCTCTTTTTTTCTGTGATTTTCGTATTCTCTTAGGGAAGAAAAAAAAAGAACGATCAAAGTCTAAATTGTTTAACTACAAAAAATTAAACACAAAAGATGCACTTAAGCTCCTCCTGCTCGTTATCCATTACTACAGTAAGCTATTTGCAATTTAGAAATCAATTACTCTATTACCAAAGAAATAACACAGAATTAGATACAAGCAGAATTCAACCTGCACATCAAGTCAACAAAACAGAACTAGGATATAATAAACATTCTCTGTTTTCAAACACACTGGGTGTCTGTACACATGCCGGGAGGCTGCTCTGATGCGCTGTAATTATAGCATGTTGGAGCAGACTTGATTAATCGAGTCTGCTGGGGTGTGCTAATTAGTGTGCTCAGCAAGCCTCTCAGAGCCGCTCTAATTAAAGTGTCCCCCCCCTCCCCTGAGCACATGTAATAATGCCAACTAAGTTTAGTAAAAAATACCACATGAACTGATAGCGAGTCTTGCAACAGCACAGATTTGTTTCCTCAGAAGCAGCAGTCAGAATGAGGGGAATATATAGTACATAAAGATTCGAATTTTCAAGGGGTTTCTTTTCCTTAACTATATTTACCTGAATCTAAGACAACCCAGAATTTAAGACAACTCCCCTAATAATTACATTCTATATATGGAAAATTTATAAATTTGTTAAAAATGTCCATGTATAGAATCTCATTATTGGAGGATTGTTTCTAATTCATCCCCCCCACTGCTGCAGGGCGGTAGGGGAGAATGTGATGTGGGGAGGACAGGCAGCTTGTTCCCTGCTTGTGCCTGCTTCTTGCCGCCTCTGCCCCCTGCTAGCTCCACCCCCCACGTTTATCCTTGTTTCATGCCGATAGGCTCCATCCCTGTTCTAGTCCAGGGCACTGAGCACAGCTCCAGTCCCAGCCCCCATAGTAGCCATGTGGGCTGAGCAATACAGCTATGTGGCTGGGATAATGCTCACTGTCCCAAGGCTACAGCATGGATGGACCCTGTTGATGCAGAGCAAAGGTAAGAGGCAGGGAGAGGTGTAGGCAGGGGAGGAGAGGCTGCATGGAGTGGGTGTGGGGGAAGAGGCTGCAGAAGGGGGGGATGGTGGGGTACAGAGGTAGTGGTGGGGATGAACAGTCAGCAGCTATAGCCCCAACCCTGGGTAGGGGTTTGAGCCTGAGCTACAGGAGTCACCTGCACCCAGCCTTCATACCCAATTCTAAGATGAGGGGCACCTCCCCACATTAATTGGGAGAAAAAAATCTTGTCCTAGAATTGAGTAAATATAATTGTAATATGTATTTTAGCTATTTGAAGTGCCACATATCTTCCTAGAAAAACAAGTGAATTAAACCTAGAAAAAGACCAACTACATGAATTTGAGATTTTGTTGCGTTATTAATGAAAAACAAAGTTAAAATATATTCAATGTATCCTTTAATTTGTAATATACAATATTCAATGTAACCTTTAATTTGCATTTATTGTTTGCATCTTATGTTCCCAATGTATGTAACCAAACATAAGCAACTTCACAACACACTACCACTATGCATGACAGGAAGTAAAGCAAGAAGAACATAGAAGGGGAGTGTTAATTTACAAAGAATGACAAGAATAAGATGTGAATTACATAGCTTGCCTCTTTGAATGAACCTTAAATTTTCTTTTTCTGTTTATTTTCTTAATTAACTCCTGAAAAGTTGTGTTTTAATGGTTGTTTTTTATTTAAACCAAAAAGGAACCCTAAAACTGGAGTTCTACAGAAGTTGTACAGTCTTGCATAATTTTATTCTCAGAGGACAACTGCTTCTTCTTGGTCAGGGATCTTTACTACTGTCACGGCAGATGAAAAGCGAGTAGTTTTTGTGTTATTAGAGGTAAATGTTCAATTCTGATTTAACACTTTAAGGGTGGTCTAAAACAGTAATAAAAGAGACATACTTGTTCAGATACTTGCATATCATTTCAGCTACATTTTCACAGTTCTTTTTAGTGGGACAAAAGACTAGGCAGGAATAATTTGGAATAACTTCAGTCACCAATGCAATAAGATGGTCAGGATCCATTCTTTCGAGATTACTAGAATACTAAAATAAAAATTAAATGGGTTATTAGACATTACAACTTTTTATTTATCTGTATTAAGCCTAAGACTCCAAGCCTGCAAATATGTACATCTGTTCTTAACTTTACCCACTTGAATAATCCCCTCTGCTTTATTGTAAATGTTACAGAAGTTTAAATGTTAGCAGAATCAGCTTATCCACTATGGCTCTTTCAATTAAGGGACACCTGCACTTTGAACTGAAGGGGAACAGAGGGTGAGAACAGAAGATTGCCTCATTCCTGTTGTCCTTGGTCTACAAGCATCAATGTGATGTCCACTGTGCTATTAGCAGCACTCTTATGAAAGGAAAACAGCACCTAAACCAGCAATTCAAGGAGACCTTAATTTATTACTTGACTGGTTCAGAGATCAAGAGAAACTCTGGGGACATATACAGCTATGCATAGCAATAGAAAGAGACAAGTCTCACCAAGTACTACATTACAGTTGTGTGGAATGGGGAACCGTGGGATTGCAGGCATAAAAAATAAGAATCAAGAACAGTATGACCACCTTTCTTATCCTACCATTTCCACCTTTGTGACTCAAGTACATTGGGCCCCACATATGAACTATGACACAGCTATTAAAATGGTAGGGGAAAAAAATCTCCAGAAACCTAAGAGCCAGTGTGGGAGACAAGGGTCTTTCTTACAACTTCCTGAGAGCAAATGGAAGAAGAACTTGCCTTCTTTTCCTCTCACACAGTCAAAGAAAATATAAAACCACTAACAGTCACCCTTCCCCCAAAAATAACAACTCACGTTGTTATTTGTAAAGCTTATTTTTATGATTACTATTTCCCTTTTATATTAAACATTTTGGAACCACTAAGTTATAATGTCCTATTCTGTAAAAATACTATAAATAAACTCTGATTTTAAAAATCATATATTTTTAAAACACTATTCAGTACTTAAGGAACTAAAAAACTTCACAAAATTAGCACTATTACCCTGAAATTAAGACGATGTGAAAAAGTAAAACCATTCTCTGCTTTGCTGTCAACTTCATAGATACTTTCTCGTATTTTAACATACTCCTTTAATTCCACCTATGTTGCAAAAAGAGAAATTGCATATTAACATATTAACCAAATTACTGTCTTCTTCACTAAGAGTTCTGTGCCAAAGCCATCCAACTTTTAAGTTGCTGGGGTCTACACCAGCAGAAGCCACATGCTGTGCAAGCTGCATGGGGTAAGCCATGGCCCCCCTGGGCCACACACTGTGTAGATGGACCCCCAACTGCCCTATTACACTGACAGTGACTGACCCTGTGGGTTCTGGAATTCATAGAGAGCTGACTAATTTCAGTTTTGCATACTACATCATCTATCAAGTATTACCCTGAAGTGGACTGAAACAGCAAAGCCTCTTGATTTCAACAGTAGTTATTATAAATCAAGTACCTCTGACTTTTGAATTTCCATTGCCACTACTGACCTTTCAAAAAGTAAACATCATGGAAATACAACCAATCCAAAAGGAGAAATGCATCTTTTTCATTCTCAAACATTTTTTTCAGACTATACAAACCTATATTTTCTCTGGGCTGAAAAGAAAAAAGGTCAACCCATGAATTAAGCCAAGGCTGTGTAACTTCCATGTGGCCAAGGGCCACACACCACATGAACCACACACTGCAGGGTGGCCTCCCCTCCCTAGAATCCTCTCTACAGTGCAGGCTGCACCACATGCTAACTGCTTGTGGCCTGTATGCAGCCTGCAGACCATCTGTGACCTACAAACTGGACAACCCCAAGTTAAGCAATGCATGTAGTCATGCAGAATAAAAAGTGCCTTCTCAAGCACAATAAACAGTTGGTCTATATACATTTTCTTTTTATGACTAACAATAATTTAGAAACAAGTTTAATTAAAAGGGTACAATCCTACACCATAGACAGTGGCGATGTGTAGGGGGTGCACGTGCACCCCAAGAGGCCGTGCTCCCCACTTAGGCAGCGGGTGTGGGGGCAGGCAGGAGCACCAGATGAAGACCTGTGGCCACTTCCGGGAGTGCTGCATCCAGTTCCTAGTCAGTGTGATTGGCCGTGGGGGACCCCGCCCCGGTTGGTGAGATTGGCCACAGGGGGACCCCTCCCTTGGTTGCTGACTGGTCAATGGCGAGGGGCGGGGGGGGAAAAACGGGAACACGGGATGGGGATGGACGGGACACACACGACATGGACATGTGCCGCCCCCTCCCCAAAGTTGGCACCAGTCACCAATGGCCATGGATGCAGGTATACCAATATAAAATTCTTAAGTGTATGAAAAAAGGTTGTGTTAAGATATAAATTAAAACTATGGTAATAAACTGTGTCTTTATATCATTATAACTGCATCCACAATAAGGTGTCATGTTACATTGACTAAAGTTGGTTTCTAAGCCAAAATAGTTAGAAAGGTCCCAAAAGTCTGTGCACTGAAAGCCCAACTGCTGGCCTAAGTAAAGCAGATCATAGAATGGGATGTTAATAAATGAGTGATGCTAATTCACCAGAGTGAAACCAGATAAAGGAAATGGAAAAGATCTCGAATATGCCAGACATGATAGGGGACAAGAGCAAAACTTCCACAATGTTTGCTGTTTACTCCCTTAGACAAACTATATTTGCAAACAATGACTGGCATCAGGAAAATGCTTTGTAAGATGAAAACAACTAGTGTATAGGAGGCCAAGGCAAGACCACTTATCTTTAGAGTTGAGTGCCTGTTT